CAGCAAACACCCTTTGTACCACCTAAAGAGTTGGTGCGAACTCTATTCCGCTGAGCCAACACACATTGTAGCACACCGGAGTTAAGGACAAGAGAAAGAAGTCGACACTTTCAACTGTTCCTATCAAACGCACATCCCAAGAGTTTTATCTAAGCGTGCCTCAGAGGTAAGAAACAAACATACAAAAGAAGGAACTTGGATAGCGCTACCTTACATTCGCGACACGTCAGAATCCACCGAACGAATACTCCGACCGTTGGGAATCAAGATCGCCCATAAACCAGAAGCAACCGTGCGATCTTCTCTGTTCAACGGCAAGGATCGAGTCGAACAGCACGAACAATCAGGAGTGATCTACGCAATCCCGTGCCTGGGCNTGAGACAGGCAAAAAACTACACACTCGCCTACACGAACATAAGCTTGCCCTCCGACGTGCTGACCCGAGGTCACAAAAGTGGAAGCACTGCGCACGGATAGGTCATGGGATCGCAATCGATAACGCAAAGGTTGTGGTGCGGGCTAAGAAGGGGGAACGGTTAATCCACGAGGCTCCGCACTGGGTCAATTCGTTCAACCGACACGTCGAGATAGACAAACATTACGTCACACTCGCAAAACCCGTGACGATTGGTGGACTGATTGACGAACAAACAGCACATAGGCGCACGGAAAGACGGTAATCCCATTATCTCATCCATTTCATTTACATTTGACAAGGAGTCCTAGTTTGGATCAAAACCTTACAATAAACATTTTACAACTCAGTGTACGCCTTCATTCTCTCTTGTGAAAAGTTGAAAGTGAAAAGGTGAAACCGTTAAACACGGGAAAAATGGTAGATAACTGGAATAACGAAATTCTCTGGTGTTTCACCGTACATTTCTTTTTATATTTTTTGTGTCGTTTGTTGTTTTTACGGGGCACGGGATTTCAACAGGCAGACCGTACAGCTTTCGCGCCATTGACTTCTATTCTGGGCCATATCTCTTAGCGTCTCTAATCAACGACAATCCTCATTCCTTGGACCTCAACCTCGAAGGCGCGATGCACCAACCGAAGCCAAAGCTGAAGCTAGCTTCTTCATACCTCTGCACCATGTCATGGCCTGACCGCCGTGGCGCTTCTTCCAGCCTTGCCGGGCACTTGCAAAGAGAGCACGGAAAGTTAGCCGATGGGCAGGCATACGCAATATACGTGACCAAGCCGACGGGGGCGGTGTAGGGTGACTACTTCTGTTAGAGAACGACTATTCGCACCCACCACACGACGTCGAACCTCGTTATTACTCAACCGGTGTTCCCACCGGACAAGAGCAATGTTTCGGAGACATCGGTGGTCGAATACAGAAAGTCGATTAGCTTCCTCAACCCGGAGAGGCCAGGTCTCGCAACCGTAAGGGATGGAAACGGCCATAAAAACGGGAATGATGTGAGCTACCGATTGTTAGCTCATATGAGACAGCTGGAAAATTATGACTGACTCCCTCTCACCCCCACCCCCGCTGAAGAAGAAGAGGCGTGTGAAACAGTTACAACAGACAACTTAGAAAGCGATGATTATTGGTGTGTGCGCAGTACAAAAAAAGAGCAGGAGACGTCCACACGTGGGTTTGAATCCTAGCAAGATTAATAATCTTTCCACAATTCAAGCACAAAGACGCCTCTCAAACATCCGCCAAAACATCAGTTACAAAACAACTGCCAGATGATTCACAGTGGAATACAACAACCTGACAGAAACGGGAAATGAAAGTGAGCAGCTACGTACCTGTAATGCTAAAGTAGGATCACGTTCCAGAATCGTTTGAGCCGCTTTCACATTACGATTATCCATGGCCACATAGAATGCCGTGTGACCCTGAGCATTTTTGACGGTACAATCGAAGACTGGGCATTGCAAAAGGATGTTGACAATCTGCGCGTGACCACTGCGTACGGCAATGTGCAGAGCTGTGTTGCCGTCGGCACCCTACCGGCCACGGATAGAGTACGACCGAATCAGCGAGAACACGTACAATGGAAAGAACAATGCAGTTAGAATCCTACACATCATAACATCTGTAGCAGTAAAATAAGATTCTTTCGAGAAGCTATGAAGTGGAAGGTAAACAGTATTCTACATCAATCAATGTTTCTCCCTCTATCGTTCTTCAGATGGAACAGAACGAATTCCCTTCTTCAGGTGACCGTAGGTAGATAAGTGCCGGAAAGATATCGGATAGCTAGAAACCGGAATTTCTTAGACGGTGCTTCTCCAGCAAATTTGTTGTATCGTGAAAAACGGCTGACGCGAATCCATACTTTTATTTACTATACACCATGATGACGCAACGGGTACTAGANGCAACATCCATCCGCACCCCCGGGGTCAAGAGGACGTATACTGTGCCAGAATGATAACCAAAACTCAAAGTCCGTAAAGCGAATCACATAACGATCCTACAAGATGGAAGTGGTGTTGTGTTGAACAACAATGAACGGGTGAAGTAGAGACGATGCTCGAAAAAAATGCACAGAGCGATTAGATAGAACAGGTGTTGCCAAACTTCCAGAATGGGATTCGGATGACTCTAACGCTGGTTGGTTAGATATAACAGCGAACCGACTGCAGTGATATTCTTTTATTCGTTTTATGACACAACAGAATCCTTGAAACGGTGTGTCGGCACAGTTAGATGATGTGATTCACTACTTTACCCCTTGCTTGAAAATGNAAAATGGCCCACTACTCCTTGACCACCTTATCTATTAATAGTTCACATGCGTTGTGAGCCTGGCATCGATCAAAGGAGATAGCTTCACTATATTTAGCTACAAGATGAGGATGGTGGCAGATAGCTTCGCTGTTGTCCAATCCAATACCAAGATCGCACCATTAAGGCCTCAGGTAGTTCGTTAGATCAATTCCCACAAAGCTTAGGATGTTGGACCCTATGGCCGAACAGTGAGACATCGCAACAAGCCTGTTCATATCTTTTATCAGTTATCGGACTGAAAAGTGTAACAGAAACAAAAATGGAATATTTGCTCACGGCCACAAACAAACTGAATAATTTGAGCGTTGTCTTTTAAATACACTTTGTTTGTGATGAGCAGCACAGAGAGTAAACTTCCCACGGTCACGAGAACTTGCTGCTCAGTCATGGAAACTGGCAACATAAGCCGCGGGGCCGAATAAGGCCCACTAGCGTAATGGTGATATTTAACCGGACGACGGTGAAGCTGCTTACCACTACTTTGAGCATTGAATCGTAGTGTTTACTAATGAACACAAGCAAATAGCGCCTCCGGTCGTGAAACCAACCAATCTGAATTGACATGTACAAATGTGTAAATAGTAGGGCAAAAGAAAGCACAATATGCGCGGAGCTCATAAAAACTAACGCACCTGAAGATTGATGTCCGTACGAGTACACTGAACCAGAGATTGAACAATCTGCACTAAGCCCAGAGCTGCAGCCATATGGATGGGACTCCAAGCCAGTTGAGGTTGTAAACAGGCCAATTCTGCCGGTACAGAGCAATCTGTGGGGCACGTGGGCACTGAGTTGACATCACAGTTACTGCGGGCGATTAGAGTCATTTGATGAGAAGAACACGCGAACAAGTAAGGAAAGATGACAGTGATTCGCTTTTTTCCGAAACAACAAATACGAAAGTGAAAAATGCGGCGAAAAACCACTGTTCACTTTGAAGAAAAAAGACAGATCATGAACTACGACTGGTCTCGGTAACCAATCAGATTTTGTCTTCGTGTGAACCATTGTGTATGTTTGGGAGGGGGGGGGGTACAGCTATCTGACGGGTGCCACGTATAGTCAGTCCACTTTATTGGCAACATCTCTGTCGAGAAGCTGTTAAGGTTACATAGAACATATTTTACGCAGTCAAACATTGAAATCCGAGCAAGCACTAAACTCCGGATTGGACTGTCATAATGTAGACGATAAGAAGCATGTGTATCGCCAGTAGCAGACAATCAATACCAGAGCAAGGAGCAACGAACTGTACATCTAATTACACAAAGAGATCAAGACAGTAGGCGGTTACAGTCATCGTGAAGGGCGCGTATTGGTTCCCACTATATTGGGAAATTCGGATTAGGTTAAAATCTAACCAATACCACAGGTAGAATTTGGGATTCGAACCATTGGATCCTGTTTATGAATCTCATCAACATAGAAAGAAGACAATTGTCGCGATTGAGAAGATTAAACGAAATGTTAACATCTCGCGACAGTAATCTTTTTTCTATACTGATGAAGTTTCAGATATCCCAAACTCAATATCAAGTCTATCCGATTAGAGCCTTGTGTGATTCATAACTCCAAATCTTAGGACTTAACAGCGGGGGAACAGATGTGCGCCGTCAAAGAATCCAACATCTCAACTACTCCCCAAATTGATAGGTTCGAAGTGAACCACTTGTGTTCCCAACGTACATGTCGATAACAGTCGGGTGGTATAGAACACCGAAACTCTTCGTCACCAATACGACTTGCTGACATGCAATCTTTGATTAGTCTCAACCTCGTTCGGACCAGTCCGTTGGTGTACAGATACATCAACATCTCTCGGACCCTTAAACAGCCCAAATTCTCAGTTTGGCTACCGCAGACGCAACCTGTAGTTAAAAGTTTCTGTGTCGCTTCAATCTAGATCGGGTGCAAGATCGTTGACGCACACAGTCTATCTACGATCAAATTGCACACGTGGTGAGATATTCTGCGGAGAGCCGAGTGAGTGAGATTGACATAGTCAACCGTTACAGAACAACTGATTGGTTCTGTTAGAAGGCGGGACCAGAATGCACAACAGTCCATTTTGTATTCCAGTGTTGTGGGTAGTGCACACTAGAACACTCGGGTGAACACACCCACAGACTGGCCAACGAAATGACCTTAGAGATCAAGTGGCACTCCGTCCTTGCCCCTTCTCGAGTACGCGCAAGCACCATCACAGATTGTCCGACTGATCGTGTAACTAAACTATCGAACGAGCTGGGCTTGTTGAATGAAGCATTTGGTAAGCATCTGAAGCAGAGCAACCAACTAATTAGAACGGGCTAAATAAGTACCAGTGGATCGTCTCTGTCTGGTAAACGGAATTCAGTAGACAACCTAGGGATCACGATAAAAGATCACTTTTTGTGCATTTAGCTTTACTGTTTAATAGAAACGATGCTATTTCTTTCATCGTATTTGAGTGCCTGCAATAAGATCTTTGCTTAATGCTCAAAAATACGTATTGCGATTGAAATAGTAGTAAAATTGGAGGCAACTACAGCCTCAGAGGAATTTC